GTGTATGTAGTGATGTAAATAAAAAGAAAAATCATATGGCTCCTCTCCTATGCATGTTCGACCTAAGGGGGAAATTTGGAGTTTGAAATGAAAATTAAATTTTGAACATGTGTGTAGGCTTTGGAATATAGGTAGGTATGTATAAGACAGTGTTGGAGTTAAATGGTTGAGGAATTCCTTGGTTGTGAAAATGCCACTTTGAGGCCTAGGTGCTTTAATTGTGGAACCTTGGGAAATCATGAATATGTTAATGAATCTTGTATTAGATGTGTATGATAAGCTTGAATTTGATGGACTAAAACATTGGAATCATGAAATTGACATGGTTTCCTTTATGTGCCTCTTGGCCATTTACAAAGGAAGTATGTTTTAAGAGTGACTATTTGTGCTAGTGAGCACTTATACGGTCTAAGGACTATATGATTAGATGTTTAAACTTTTGGTTGGGTTAGATAAAAAGAAAAATGAATAGGTTTCCTTCTTTGGGCTTTATATGTGAATATGACCATTTTCAAAGGAGGTATGTGCTAAGAGTTATTGTTTTGCAAAGTGAGCACACTTTTATGCTTAGAATAATGTTCTAAGGTGTGTGAACCTTTGCTTTGGTGAAAGACAAAAGAAGATAAGGTAACTCCTTTGTATGACCCTAAAATGAGTTTAGGTCATTTTCAAAGGAGGTATATGTTCGGAGATACTATTTCGCAAAGTGAGAACACTTTTATGCTTAAAATAATTTATATAGGTGCCTAAGCTTGGGTTTAGGCACTAGACAAAAAGAAATCTTATATCTCCTTTGTAATGAGCACTCTACCTTAAATTGGAAAAAATAGGCTTTAAGGTGCTAAGAGGAGTAATAAGTGTTATGAAGGCCTTTTGAAACTATCCTAAGACTAGGTAAATGTATGGAATTATTTGGGGATCTGTTGAACAAAGAACCACCCACCCATAGTCTAATATTGTAAGTTAAAATAAAAATGGTTATGACTTGTGTGTATGACATAATATTGCCATAAGAATTGATAAGTAAAAGATGAAATCAATAAATGGTGTGTCTGGTTAATTACTTGGCTTTGAACCATTTTATTGATATTTGTGTGGATACCCTATTTTAGGTGCGCCTAGGAGTCTTGTTGAGGATCCTACATCAGAGGAGGCTAGGTAACTCTTATTTCGGGTAGGCCATTTATACAGCTTTGAGAGGTAAGCTCTATGTTTAAGGAGTTCGCTCCTACTTTGTGTTATGCCATAGTGTACGGACTATGGTCGGGTTGTATGATATGTATGAGATATATGATATAGATGCATTCAGATAGAGCTATATGATGATGTGATATGACATGTTTTATGTGGTATGTATGATGATTCTTGGCCTTTGAATCAGTGTGCATCAACTCCATGTAAGGGAGAGACCCTTGGGAATAACGGTGTACACCAATGAGATATTCCATGTAGGGGAGAGACCCTTGGGAATAAGTGCGTTGATTTTCACTTGGAGAGAGGTCCTTGGGGAATGATTGCGTACTTCAGAGATGTTATATGAGATATGTTCAGTACAATATGATATATGATGTATATGATATTTTGTATATTATGTATCTGACTGTCATGCAGAAAATGGGCCCAAGGTATGGAGAGTTCTCTATAAACCTGGAGCTTACTGGAGATTCATCTCTCACCCCGTTTGAGGATATGATTTCAGGTACACAGTTAGCTGGAGAGCCCTTATGGGGCAAGGACCCTACTCGTGGCTAGAGGTGCTAACATGAGGATATGGAGTTTTGGGTAGCCAGAGGCTACTATTTATTATAGATGTTATTTTTGGAGAGCATGTATTGTTGTATTTTGTGCTCTAATTATTTAAGGATCTTGATGTCTGATCCAGAGTTATGTATATGGCCTGTATATGTGCTGCACATGCTTTTCGCTTTTGATGCATGTACATTTTAGTATAAAGGCATTATTATGAGATGAGGTATATTCTGATATGTGATTATTATATGCTGCTAGATTTAGAAGCACAGAGTCTTGTATGAATGCACCCATGGATGAGTTTTATAGTCATATGTGATATATATGATATATTAGGATGCATGTGCTTATCAGGACATTATGAGTGATTATATCCCCATTTATCCGAGAAACAAACAAAACTTTGTCCATTTTGAGACTCCGTATGGAATGACACTTGTGGTCATCTCCTGATGGTAGGTGATATTTGACTATGATTATTGATCACAAATGTATTAGAGAAAGAAAGTATATTAGGAATAAGTAAGAAAAGATGTATGTGTTGCAATATATCATGTGAATTAAAGGAAAGAAAAGAAAAAGGAAAAATTTAGCTCGTACTTCCGTTAATCGAGTTAAAAGATTAAGTAAGACTTCCGCTGATACATGTTTAAATATCGTATGTATGTTAATTGAACCGGTTCGAGACATGGATGTTACAAAGAGCTACGCGTTGGAAAAATTTTATAGAAATTTTTTTGAACATATATTCGAGTACATGCCCATATACTCGAGTACAGCCCATAAACAGAAAATACTCGAGTACATGGGTTGTATACTCAGTTATATGTTCATGGGACTTGATATACTTGAGAATATGGTCATATACTCGAGTATATTGATCGGTCAACGATCAAACAGGAGCAAATTGATATATAAGTTTTTTTTTTGGTACATTGCCAGGAGGTATCCCCATTCAACCTTCTCCGGGCACCATGCCCTCGGGGTACGGCCCGTTCGGGCTAGCTCCTTATTGTAACAGTGGGTCCACTAAGCTTTGCAACCGGAGAAAGGACGACACTAATCCCGCAACCGAAGATTTTTTGGCTTATCCTCTGGTCCCCAAAGATTTTCCAAGAAACTGCTTGAGACAGGGTTTGATCCCTGCACCAAGCAATCCTTTGGGAGCTCAGCTGCCAACTGAGCTACCCTTGGGAGTTTGATATATAATTTTAGGACAAGAGCAAAGTGATATTTTTTAAATAAAAGAAAGGGCAAAATAGTCAAATAGCCAATATTTGCCGGCAAAATATGAATCTATATTTCTCCGTCGTCATATATGCTTTCACAAAAAATTAGATTGAATATAAATATTAGACGGACTAAAAAGACAGATAAAATTTCTTACTAGACATATAACATGTGCACTATTTTTCACAGTTCAACTATAATTTTCTTTTTCGAAGTTAAAAAATAAACCAGTTTTCCAAATTGAAGTTACTTGTATCCCTTCATGAAGTATAGTAGAATTTTTTTCTTCAATTTTTTTATTTTTTTAATGTAAAGGTGAACTTTCAATTTATTTTTTTGGGTCAGTGACTCGTTCCTATCAATTTGATTTAGAATCGGTGTTGTTCGAATCAAGTTGTGTATTGATATCATAGGGTTGTTAGACAATGAACATCTTTTGCGTGCTATTCTTTTTGAAATGTACAGAAAAGTTGGTTAAAAGCAAGAGTGCAACCAAAAGCAGACAGCACAGGAGTTAAAAAGATTGACCTTTTATTTACGGAGGTAGCATCAGCACGCTACTTTGTGGTGGAGATTGGAGTGAAGAGAGAAGATTTTTGTTTGGTCGTGTTGGAATTTTTCTCATAACTTTACACATATAGCTTGAAAGTGGAAGTGCCATGATGTAGTCCATCTCACCTAACATTTTATATTGTTCGTTTGTGTTGTGGCAGACTAGCAGGGGAATATAATCTTGAAACTACGAAATTTTTCATATTTTAACATTTTTCAGTCTTTCAAGATAAAGGATATTCTCACAACTAAAATTTTTCACTATCAACTTACTACCTATCTAATTACCATTAGATTAATATTTTCTCTCTCTTCAAAAACTTTTTAACATTCTCTTTCTTTGATCCAATGGTGATGTGATGGGTAACAAGTTAGTAGTAAGAATTTTTGGTAGTTAGATATTGGCCTAAATAAAAGAGCTTACATTCACTTGTATTACATCTAATTTGTATTAAAATATGCCAACAATCAAAGAACTTGTTTTTATCCACTATGACAATAGTTTTTGTTTTTGTTTTTGTTTTTACGGTGAGAGATAATTTTCTCATTTTTAACTTTCCTTGGAAATTGAATGATTTCGAATTCTAACACTAAATACAAAAGAATTCACTAATTGAACTAACAGACCCTGCTATAACCTATAGAATCGAAATAAAAAAAATTAAATTTGAGAAAGAGATATATTAAGATGCCTCCCTTGATGAAAATAAAAGAAACAAAAATTCATGATAAACCCCAACAATTATCATATGGTAAAAAAGTTTATCCTTTTAAATGATACAACTTAAATCCTTTCACTCTCACAAAGAGGTGGGACCCACACCTTTATTTTTTTTGTCAACTCTCTCTCTCTCCTCCTTTATCTATCTCTCTCTCTTAAAATGACACAACTCTACATCTTTTAAAATGATACACACTTTTCCCTTATCATATTTAATTTTTCTTGTTTTCAGTTCTTTATTCATACCAACAAACCATTATAATATGATATCAAACTGAGAATAACCTTGTAGCTATTATTTCTGAAGAATCATGAATTTAACAACTAGCATGAATAAAATAAAAAGCTCTAGAAAGTTTAAAAAAGAAGAAGGAAGCGTGGCATACAGTAAGCAAGTAAAATTCATTAACTGTGAAAGCAAAAAAAAAAAAAAAAAAAAAAAAAGTCATTAACTGTACAAAATAGGAATTATCTTGAGAGAAATCTTTGAAACTACGTTTAAAATAAAATTACAAATTATGTATTCTAAAAAATACGTAGACATAATTTTTCTTTTCTCTTTCTTCGAAAAAATATGTCAACATAAGTGTTATATTTTTATTGGGCGATGTAAATACGACTAGTATATTAAAATTTTCGCTCATGAAGGGTCCTATTTGTTTTTACCATTTTGACATCTGAAAAGGATACCCATGTGTCTTTTACGTATTAGGACAGAAACATTTTCTTCAATGGTACAGTTTGTCTAGCTGTGATTTAGAACTCCCTTTATTCCCTTCTCATTTTTTTTCTTGTTCACTTTGTTCTTGTTTTGTTCTTTTTTATTGTGGTCGTGTTGTTCTTTGAATGCTTTAAAGTCTTTCACACGCACAAAACACTTTTTTCTCTTCTCTCCTCATTTTTTGGTCAGTCTTCCCCAAGATCCTTTGGAGGTTTGTGAATTAGTGTCTTCTTGATGTTCTTTTTTCTGTTCAATCAAGGATCTGTTGTAATAAGTAGAAATAGCTTTTGCTTACTAAAATATTCTGATTGTGCAATTTATGAGCTTCTTGAGACAGTATATTTTATCCTTGTTATGGTTTCTGTGTGTGGCTTTGCTTTTTTGTTAGTGTTTATTTATTTATTTATTTTTTTGATTGTCAGAGACATAGAAATTGGTTGTGAAAAACAGAAGCACTTGTTTCCAAGTATAGGAATCTTCAGTTGCCATGTTTCATCGCTGGACCAATTCTCAACAAGGCCAGCAAAGCAACGAGGTTTATGCAGAATCCAAGGTAAGTTGTTTTTGTTTGGTGATATATTATTATGATTATGATTATGATTATTATTATTATGATTATTATTATGATTATTACCTGTTAATTAAGCATCATGGTTCTGATTCTGAATATTAAAATTCTACAAGCAGGTTAAAGAGCTCAAGGGTGCAATTGGACCCTTATCAGGACGCAGTTTGATGTATTGCACTGATGCTTGTTTGAGGAGATATCTGGAAGCTCGCAACTGGAATGTAGAAAAGTCCAAGAAGATGTTGGAGGACACACTCAAATGGAGATCAACCTATAAGCCTGAGGAAATTCGCTGGGTAAGCAGTGTGTTTTGTTGTTCTCATTCTTGATGATTTTGATGCATATATATATATGGTGTCTGAAATACTGTTTAAGGTATTATCATTTGTCAGCATGAGGTTGCAATGGAAGGTGAGACTGGGAAATTATACAGAGCAAGTTTTCATGACAGACAAGGAAGGACTGTTCTTATTTTGAGACCTGGAATGCAGGTATCATCATGATGGTTTGGAGAATTTTGGTTTTAACTATAGTTTCCTAGGGCTTTATGGGTGTTGAAATTGAATATTTATTTGATGTGGTGCAGAATACTTCTTCAATGGAGAATCAGATAAGGCATCTGGTGTATCTTTTGGAAAATGCTATGCTTAACCTTCCACCAGGTCAAGAACAAATGGCATGGTTGATAGATTTCACTGGTTGGTCATTGACCAACAATGTGCCTATTAAATCAGCTAGAGAGACCATTAACATTCTACAGAACCATTACCCTGAGAGGCTTGGCATAGCATTTCTTTACAACCCCCCACGAGTTTTTGAAGCTTTTTGGAAGGTTTGTTGACTTTGCTCTAGGTGTTAGCATTTTAATGACATACAAAATAGTACATCTTTTCATGCCTCAATAGTCACTATTATTGATATAATTGAATTGCACGCATAATTTGGAATGTAATAGTTACTCAATTTTTGTGCTGAAGTTGAAGGTTGTACTTCTATTTATGCAGATAGTAAAGTACTTCTTGGATAACAAGACATTTCAGAAGGTAAAGTTTGTCTACCCCAAAAATAAAGATAGCGTGGAGCTCATGAAGTCTTATTTTGAAGAGGAAAATCTTCCCAAAGAACTAGGTGGAAAAAGCATATTGAACTATAACCACGAGGAGTTCTCCAAATTAATGGCTCAGGATGATTTGAAATGTGCAGATTTTTGGGGATCTGATGGCAAGCTTTCAAATCACATTGGTAACGGGCATGCTGCAGCAGAGGTTGCTCCTGATGTGTTAGCTTAGTGGAGATATCAATACTAATCATTGTAACCATTAGCTCTGGGCAAGTTGTGACTAAGGGGCACATCCCCAGTTTGGTTAATTACTGCCAAGAGGGATTTATAATACATTAATCCTCTTTTTAATGCATCACTATTCAAGAGGAACTTTTGAATTATCGCAATTGCAATGTTGCTGATTAAAAAGGTACTCATTCAGCTATAAAAAGTACCATGCTATTTTCCCTAGTACCATTTTTGGCATCAGATTCCCAGAAAAACATTTGATCATTTACATGAAAAAGCATTCCAATCAAGTTACAACCTACAGAATCACACAATCGTACAATAAATGACGAGATCCCAATAACAAAATTGAACATCTATACCATCCTTCGAAGGCTTCTGAAATAAGGCTAAACAAAAGGAAACTACCAAGTTTACCCATGATAGCTTGTAGGCTTCAAACTATAGAGCATTAAAATTTCTACTCATAAAGGGGTTATATGAATCGTCTTATAAATTTACGAGTAGTTGTTTGGTATGAACTCACCAATAGGCTAACCCCTAAACCAACTCCTACACAGATGCCTAGCCCAATTCCAACACCAACTCGTACCCCAGCATTAAACCATGATAGTTCACCATCTTCCCCATCTATGTATCCTGTTCTTTGCCAATACATGTTGTTGTACTCCTCCTCTTGTTCTGGTTTGAAGCTTCTGTAGTCAGCTACCTATGAAGCAAAACAGAACGAGGAATAAGGGGGCTGTAACAGGAAATATAGCAAAAGCTAGTCACAGTAAATACAGCATTTTCATAAAAGCAAAGTGATCATAATCACACAAACCATTGGGATACCCTGAGTACATGGAAATTCCACCGCCATAATTTATTGTCAATAGTTATGAAATTGAAGATGCAATACTACGACAAATTAACTGAAAATAATTCATATAAAGGGCAAAGAGCAAACCCCGATGCACAAGGTTTCTCGGCTTGCGAGGATAGGAGTGAAAGTCAATTGTATGCAGTCTTACCTTCTTTGCATTTGTAAAGAGGAAATGCAAAGAGTATGTTTTATAACACAAATAAATTTTTTACATGATCAAAAGATCTGTTTGAATGGAATTCTGACTATTCATCCAAAGAAAATCTAAGACAGAGCAATGAAAAGATACTCACAAAGTAAATGTTGCAAAGAAGATGAAACCATCAATGAAAAGTCAAGCTCTTAATGCAGATAATCAGAAGTAATGCGTTTGTATCATAAAAGAGGGGGTAGATTGAATGTTTTGGTGTAATTGGACTAGTCTTTGTCAATCCATTTTAGAAACTCACACCTTTTAGTTGTATACTGCCTTTTGAGGTTAGAAAAGGTGAAGGAATTGAAGTTAAAAGTGAGAAGTTATTCTAAAAAGTGACATTTTTCTTTCAGCCAACTCATATGTAAGTAAAGCTCAGAAATCCTCCACACTGTAAAAGATCACGAATCATTCCAAACTTTAATTGATATTATACCGGTTTCACATCTGAGAAAGATCAAATTCGATAGAGATTGAGGCAAATAAAAAGGATGAACTTGGGATATCAAATACGCATATCTTGATACAACTACATCCATTATGCAAAGGTTATATATGATAGAATTATTTAGCGATTATAGAAAACATGGACACGCTGATAAGATAGTTGGAAATGTCAACTGAGCAAAGAAAGGCAGTATTAGTAAGATAGATATCTAAAACCTTGTTGTCTCCTCGTGAGTTTTGAGAATGAGATGTAACCATAACCATAACCTCACATTTCATGTGTATTTTTCCAAATGAACTGCATACAAGTATCCCACTTTGGATTATGGAGTTATATATCATATACAAATAAAGACCATTTATCTTCAAGCACACACACAGATGCACAGGCGCTACCTACAGTGTGTGCAGCCCCACTACCAATTGTCCTTTTATGCCAGAGGCTGTTTCCAAGGGGCATTGGAAAATACCAAACATAAAATAATAAGGTAAATTAGTAGTTTCCCATAAATAATAATAAAAATGTGTATTATGTTTGCCCATACTACAATGACACTTCTAGGATAGGCTTTATTCAGAAGTTGGGACCAATGTCTAAAGAAAATGGTGGTAAACAAAGAGTGACCAAAACACAGATAACTTAACACACAATTCGTATTATCCAGCAAAGGAATGTAGTCATAGAAGATCACTAACATGAAATTTCAGTATTATCCAGGAAATTTTCCATATTTATATGAAATCTTAGTCCAAGAACATACTTTAGTCATAACTTAATACAGACTTTGTATCATACAGGAAATTTGCCACATTTTTATGAAATCTTAGTGCAAGAAATACGCATCCCATGATATCCCAAATGGACTAAAAGATACAAGCATCAGAAATCATACAAAAAAAAAGAAGCCCATTTCTGCTAATGTAATATAAAAAAAGTTCTGCATTTTTACCTGCAAATCAAGTCCATGATCAGATGCATCTTTCTGGCACTCAGTTGTTTCATATTCAGGAATGACATCCAACGTGCATTTCCTAGTATGCTTCTTCCGGCAATTGAGCTGCAGTGTCTTAGTTAAGATTATGGGCGTTCCTGAGAAGCTTCCAGCAACATAAACCTCAATTTCAGGACAATGTAATTCAGGGATAGCAACATGTTTTCCCTTGAAGAAGCCACTGCTAGGTGTCATTTCTGTTTCACAAATCATGCTCCATCTCTTCGCATTACTCCTTGATTCCCCAACAAAACCGTTGCTATTAGACATCTCAAGAACCCCAGAGAGAATGCAATGCTCTTTATCATAAACCTCAAACTTCATGCTCCCATTCAAACGTATACTATCTGTGTTCACAAAGGTAGCTTCTTCAGATTTCTTATCCACTCGGTCCCTTCTGAGAACTGAACACTCTCCATCAGAGTACACGCTGCTTCTAACACCATTTACCTCTAAAAGGGTATCAGGGCTAAGAGGAATATGATTAAGAGAGAGAAACTCAGGGGTTGATTCATCCACCTGAAACCCACTAACTCTGACATAAAAGACTCTTAGATCAAACCAAGGTGATGATAGTTTGATGCAGGGTTTATAAGGAGAGTATTTAATGATCTCAAGACTTCTATTGGTTGATTCTCCATTGCATGTTGCCTCATAAGATTCTTCCATGTTCATATCCACTCACTCAATCACTGAAATCCTCTATGGTTATAGATTTGAAAGCATCGTTGGAAGTTGAACCATCAAATTCTACATCAAGTTGCCAATTGAAACCTGCTTCATAATCAACCAAGTATTTGATATTCTCAGATAATCTAAGCAATAAATCTTGTACCACTTATAAGAAAAACCAAAAACGTAGAACTATATATTATGGTACAAAATCAAATCTAGAGAAACATGAAAAAAATAAAGGGAAAAAGGTTCACGACCACAAACAAATTCAATCCTTCATTTAACGCAAATAAGCAATAACTATGGAAAATGTTTCAGCCACAAACTTAATCTCTTAACACAACCACGGATTATGCAATCAAATTCTAAAACCAAAGTACCTTTCAGATCGTGGTCGTGGCAGGCTACGCAGCAATGACAACTTTGTGTTCCTGAAAAACCATACAATAATTTTAATATCTCAAAAATAAAATAAGAAAGTATATACTTGTTGGATCATTTTTATGTACCCAAAAAATGGTATAACTTTTTATTATTCTATTTGATTCCTCATTTCTCTTAAGCTGATTTAGTAACTTTATTTATTTAATTTCGAAGTGAGATTTTACAATTCAATTAAAATACAAAACAGCATGATGGAGTCTTATATTATAAGATTGCAAGGAAATGGGGCTTCTGACCGGAAAATTTGATCTTATCCGATAGACACGGGGAATTTGCATTTACCGATTTACGTCTTACGAGGTCGGTGGGTCTAAATCGAAAGGGATACATGATGTGACTGTTTTAATAGGAAAAAAATGAAGACCATCAAGTAATAATTTAATTAGTTAAATCAATTAAAATATATAATTAGATTTTATTAAGTTGTAATAATTAATTATAATTATAAAAAATACAACTATTTGATTCAATCAGTTTAATTTTTTTTTTATAAAGCATTATTGTGTGATTTACTTGCAAAATCATGACGTGAATTATCCAATTTTTGGATTTAGAATAAAAAATTGATATTAATTAAAGAACTTTTATATATTTATTAAATATTTTTAAGTCTTTAATATAAATAAATATTTAATTTTTTATTTTATTTCTTTAAATGGTGACATGATATCTATTTTTAAGATTCTAAACAATTACCTCTTATAAATAAAGGGGAAAATACTTCTTATGTGACTGCAGAAGGGAAAACTTGCAGCAACACATGATACGCGTCCGAATACTGGTTTTTTTTTTTGATAGAATCCGCACGTGTATCCTAGGATCCGCACGTGTATCCTAGTGTTAAAAATTTGCTGCAACTTTTTTCATCAGCAATCACATAAGAAGCGACGGACCCATAAATAAACTAGAATATTTACTAGATTTAGAAACCAAAGAAGAAGAAGAAATAAGAACGATAGACAAACCAAAATCAATAAAAAAAAAAATGCATATGGGAACTAGTAAGCTCTTCATGTGAAACAAAAAACTTGGCACACACTCTATCTGAGTCAATTGTAAATTTGCTGTTTGTTACTTACCATATATAACAGATTTCAAAGTTACAATGGTCACTATGAAAAGGAAACATTTTACCACATGTGATAAGGGTTGGGGTTTACCAAAGGGAATTATGTGGGGGATGTACATTTTGGAAGAAGGGTTGTGTTGGATTAATGTTGTGCTGGTGGCAAATATTCATGAAAATGGGGCTATACGTTGAGACTACGAAAATTTCTACCACAGTTTATGCAAAAAAAAAATTCAGGAGCTTCACACTATTTTTGTATTTCAGAAAATGGGGTAGAGGGGATGAATTGGAATAGAGGGTTTTGATGAGTAGTAAGGTTGGTTGTTCACTGGAAAGTCCCCCTAAATCATGGGGAAAAAAATGCAAATTCAAATTCTATGCACGTGAAATCTCTATTTGATTTAACTAATAAAGTAATAGTTAGCCAATAATAGAGGGTAATCTTAACTTTCCTAGTTTTTAACATGAGTGGGAGTTATAAATAGACATCACCCCGAAAAGATATGTAATCCCTTTTTTTTTAACTTTTTTTCTTCCATCAATCACCAAGATTTGGTTTTGTAGATCCCATAAACTTGAATCAACGAAAATAATATAGTTGCGAGAAATTCATACATCAGCTTAATATACTTAAATTTAATGTATTAGGTTAGTAAAACATTAATTAGTAATTAAATATCATAATTAATTAAGTGTCAACAATTCATTGGTCTAATTCTTCAAATTTATACTAGATAGTTAAACCTATTTTGCACAAAATCCAAATGAACATGGAAGAAGCAAGATTTTCTTCGGATTCGTATTCTAATGGCCGTGATGAATCTGGCCCACTAAATATAACATCACGGGTTGCTCCCATAGACCCTTACTCGCACCACGGCGTCCTACTTCTTAAAAGAAAGCACCCCCAAAAGGGTTATGGGCTTCCACTTGTTGTCACGATTATCGTTGGAAATTGGCACTCCTAATGCCAATACAATTTATGATAAATTACACACCAATTATATCTCGTAGTAACTTATTTGTTGGATATTAAATTGTCATGAGGATATAATCATTTATGGATAAATCAATGACGATGATCATGACATTCTTTATTATAATATTTTTTTCTCTCATTCCCTTTATCATTGATTTACCTATAAACCGATAGAATTTTCTCATATGATATGACTATGTTAAATAATATATGAAAGGATTTATTTTCATATATATTTTGTAGTAAGAATAAATTTTTTTACACCAAATATTAATAATTGATTTACTTGTATCTAACGAGTTACATATTTAGTAAATTAGAGCGGTTAAATGTAAATATAATCAACGGCCAAGATTAAGAGTATAATTTATACCGATGTAAAATGATCTTCACTTTATATATATATATAAACACATATCTATTCGAGAGAAATCGGTCAGAATCATGTTTTACAACGGACTTTCCACATTCTCGAACATTTGCATGTGTATATGTAACTAAAATATGTATACGTATATTTAGCTAAAATAAAAAATTTCCTTGATTTAGTTTGATCAATTCTAATTTATTAGGGTTTATTTTTTCTAAAGTTACTTTATATAACTTTATCACTGAAACGACGTCGTTTTAGGACTGAAATCATGGTGTGTTTGTAATTTTAATTTATTTTAGAGTTATAATAATCTTTATCATTCTAGTTTTTTAAATTCCCCCCCCCCCCAAAATAACGTTGTTTTGATGAACATTAGATAAAATTATCTAAAGTAACATTAGATACTTTTTTCCAATTTATTATTATTAAATTATGAGAAATAGATACTTACCAAATTTTTTTTATGAGAAATAGATAGAGTAATAATAATAATTTTAAAAGTAGGTATTATGTTTACTGATCTCTCATGAAATATAAAAGCTCACTTATTAGTCTTTCACCATAAAGAAAAGTATCTATTAAAAGGTCTTCAAGTTAACAAAGGATGCTCAAGCAAATTTGCAACTCCTTTACTAACCTTATCTCAAGCCACCCACAATAAGGACCAATTGAAATAGCTTCTTGCCTCACCACTTGTCTCTAAAGCTGGTCATCCTCTCCACTATAAATACAAGTATGCTAAACATAAGGTATATATTTTTTTTTATATGAAAAATATGTTTGCATAAAATCTGACCTAAGCGTTGAAGTATCTTGCAGTTATACCCCCACTTTGTTATAGTGAATACTCATTGATTAAAGTTGCGTTAAATCACTTGTGTAGAAAAAGATCACCATGGTCAGTCTAGATAGAAATGGTTCTGATTATTTATAAAAAAATAAAAAATAGAGTAAACAAGAAATTAAATGAGAATCTTTTTCAAAATTAAATGAGAAATAAAAAAAAATTGTATAGTTTTTATATTATGTATTAGTATTAGAGTTTTTTTTAATGGTGTTAATCGATAGTTTGAACTTTTAATTTTCAAGCCAGTACTAATTATTATTATAACACGATATATATGTTGTCCATTATTTGATTTATTTTTTTGGTAAATACTGTACATTATTTTAACTCGCCCGTGTAATCTAACAACAAAATGAGCTTTTTTTATAGATAATCTGGAGGTATTCTCATACAATCTCCTCCAACTATCACTTTGTCCTTGAAGTACGGTCCTTAAGGTAGCTTCTTATTTGAACAAAAAATGTATCGGACCACTGTCATTGGAGGAAGGGTGAGACTAATCCCCTCAGGGGGAGACAGGTTGCTCTGACCCAAATAAAATGAGCTTTTTAACTATATTTTTTCTATTATCATTTATGTTCACCAAATAGTTTTACAATTAATGTGGATTATCGAAATATAAGAAGAAAGCTTTTCCTTTAACTTCTCATAATCCAAGTCTCATTGTAATTTTGATTCATTTTCAATTTCACATGGATGTCAAATGGAAATTATAAAATAGGAAAATGCCAAATGTCTATACGACTAGGATGGCATATAGGATGGCATACAGGAAGATAGCTCTGTCTTTATGTTTATTTCCATAATAATCTATGGTTACAAAACAAAATATTCTTTTTGTTATATTGTTGGGTAAGTGACTTCTTTATTTAGATGCGGAAGAACACTTAGAGGGGGTGAATAGGTATTTTTTAAATTTTTCAAAAACTTTTTTTTAGTAGATCCTTAAAGTCTAGACAAAGTTGAACTAACAAGTTCAATCACCACACCAACACAATAAGATTGACAGTTATCAATTTATATTACTATTTAAATTCAGTAAACAATCACATAATTTTTCTTTAGTCCCTGTATGCCCAAAATAATTTTTCGCAATGCTAAGAATAATATAGTAACTGAAAGCGTACCTTAGCAATTTACAGAGTATAAACGTAATAATGTAATTTTCTTAAACAAAACAGAAAATATTAGTTTTGTCACATCACTTTTAATATGTCACCAGAAAATCGCTATAGCACTTTTAAACCAGAACTCAGTGTTACTTTAAGTTTTTAAACAGAATATTCAGAAATTAAATTAAAGAGACAAGAGACACGATATATCCTAGTTCACACCCACTAAGCCTAAGTAGGGTGCTACGTCCAGACTGAAGTCGATGCAGATATTTTATTTATCACAAGTGTACCTGTTTTACAAACACACGTCACACAAGCAATCAAACAAAATATCAAAAACCTTCATAGTGCTTACACTGCTCCAAACTCTGAGAATTCTCTTAAGCCGAACCTACGGAGTTTACCAACTCCTCTCACACAAGACCTCCACTCTCCCTAGTGGATTCTTGAGGCTCCAGGCCATGAAACACACTCTCAAGCCAAGACAAGGTCGCCAACCCACACGGTTGCACCTATACACATAGGACAGATTTTTCACACACGCGCACTTCACTTTAAACAAACAATACAATATCTCAGATTTATAACAGGAAATTTATCAACCTATTACAATGTCCTATCACACTTGATATATCAAATAAGGCGCAACAACAAGCTCTAAAATGATATGATGTATGTAGAAAATTTAGAGCACAAGTATATGTATCACAAACTTTA